CCTCTCCCACTCCCCCTGCTTGTGTTCCCTCTCTCGCTGTGTCTCTCTCTGTCAAATAAATAAATAAAATCTTAAAAAAAAAAAACCAACTTTAAATAAATAAATAAATAAATGCAGGTCTTAGTTACTGCATTTAGAAGCTTATTTTGGAATAATTCTAGACTTAATCGAGAATTTGCAGAGATAGTAATACAAAGAGTTCCTATATGCCTTCATCCAGCGTCTCATGATGCTGGCTGCCATCCTCCGTTACCATCGTATGTTTGCCAAAACTAAAAAATAAACATTGGTGCCACATGATTAACTAAAGCACACACTTCAAGACTTCACCAGTTCTTTCATAAACGTCTGTCTGCTCCAGGGCTCGGTCTGAGACACCACGCTGCATTCAGAGCACTGCCCGTTTACCAGCTGCCCTGATTCCACTGGACGTGGCCCCACTGTTTCTGTACCCACACCTGAAATAACAGACATAGGCAGTTTCTAGGGTGTCACATCTGGACATGGCCGCAGGGAACACATCTGTGGACACGGCAGTGACAGGGAGCGCAAAGGATGCCAGGGCCCCAGAGGCCCCCATTCCCAGTCCCAGAGCTCACAAGACGCGACCCTCACCCGGCTTCACGCCCTCTCCCCAGTTAGGTCCCTGCCAGCTGGACCCTAACTTGCTGTCTCCGGAACTGCTCGGCAGCCCTGTCCCTGGGGCCCCCGTGGCGTGCGCATGCGTGCTCACCCTCCTCCACGTAGTCGATGGTGGAGAGATGCTGGAGGCGGCTGCGCACCACGCTGCCCTGCCTCCGCAGCGGTGGGCGCTGAGCGGGGGGCGGCGGGGAGCCGGTGGCGGCGGGGGGGCCGGACACGTTCTCCTGGGGGGCGGCGGGCTCTGACGTCTGGTTCAGCTCAATGCAGTACTCGATGAGGCTGCTCATCAGCTCGGCCTGGGGAGGAGAGAGGGGCCACGCTGAGGCCTCCTGAGGCCCAGCCTTTCCGTACTCCGTGGAGTGAGCTGGATGAGATGGACGGGCCCCTGCCTTCTCCTGGGGCAGGCAGAGGGCAAACACCATTTACACAAGAAAAGGAAGGCGGCGGGGGGAGTCAGGTGCTCTGTGGGCCGGGCGACAGAGGAGGCATCCATCTGGGGTGACTTCGGAGGTCAGTCCTGATGGACGAGTAGGGGTCCC